GTTTACTAGGGGTATTTTTATTCAATTTATATTTTACAAATATTTTTTTCTATATTTTTATTAACACTAAGATGTGCATACGCTTCAAATTTCAAATCGCTCTGATTAGTCAAATAAAAATAAAAATTGAAAAACTATCGGACAATTTTGACCGTGTGATGAAGTTTGGATGGTGATGAAGATAGGCGAAATCACTATTTATTTTCGCCTATAGGCATTTTGTAGTATCTTCCATATATATATATATATATATATAGTGATCCTATAGGACCTTGCCACAAATAATGATGACATCCCATTGGGTCACTGTCCATCTTGACTCAAATCGCTAGTTCCAATTTAGTGAAATTATAAAAAATGTACCTTTATTTTCCCCAAATTGGAAAAAATGTACCTTTCATAAACCTCATCTACACCCTTTTTTTGGTCTTTTTTTTTTTTTACAAAAATAGCTTTCATGGTAGTCGTATTATTGTGAAGCTCTAGAATTAAGTATCTTAATGCATTTTAAATTATGTGATAACTCGAAGTATTTTAACTACTAAAATTGAGGAAAATGGGGTTGGACGAAGTTTATAAAAGTGAAATTTTTTTTTCTAATTTGGCAAAAATTGAGATATATTTATGAGAATTTCTCTAAAATAATATAGGATCATAGCTTCCTTTTTCTCTCTGCCCATTAAAACCTCGCTCCCTTCCACCTGTCCATGTACAACCCCTCGCTCTCTCTCACTCAGTACAAATATTACAAATAACGCCATTTTTTTACAAGAAAAAATATTCATAAGTTTCATGAAAAATAACATCAACAAGAATAACATAAATAAATTTCAAACCAAAAAAATATTAGAAAGGTGAAAACTGTTGGGTGAGTGTGGCCATTCAAGGCCTTATGAGTGTTTGCAAAATGAAATGATATAGTGGAACATGAACTCAGTAAGAGGGTGGTTACTCATGGACCATACTAAGCAAATGATGTTTGCTGATATCAGACTGTACTTTACGGTTTAGGTCAGTCGATTGGGAAAAAATGGGTCATCCCTTGATGAGATCGGAGTATGCCCTGATGAGGGAGCCGAGGGACTATG